AAAAAAACTATTTTTTGTCCAAAGAAAAAAAGAATTCAAGATTATAAAATTATGACTAAAGGGAAAAAATAAATAAATAAAAGTTCAACCTCCTGCTTGAGTTTTCCCAGCAATTCGAGCAACTTGGTCTGAGTGGCAAGTGCAAATGAATTAATCCCTGACCATTCTTTGACACTTTGGGCAGCCACTTCTCAGTCTAATTCTTAACTATTCCTAAATTTAAGATAAAAGAAAGAAATAAACCAAACATCAATGATTCAACTAAAAAAAATGAATTAAAAAGTAACGATAGCAACACAGGCACATAGTTGACAATCCTCATACAAGTCGTCCGGCATAAATTTCTTTCAATATCATAAACCCTTTTCACAGTAACAAAAGAAACAAGCAAGATTTACAAAAGGCCTAAAGAAAAAAAAAAACCAATTGCCAAACCAGCAAACGGAGCACACAAAACCCAGATTTGGGTTTAGCGAGAAAACTGTTAAACAAAATAACAAGAGCAAATAACAGCCTTCTACTTACGCATATTGCAAGACAAAAAGAAATAATCTTGACCATTTCTTTTCCGTTCTCCCTGTTTCTTCAATGGCATTCATACTAACGGAGCCTATGCCCAGATGCTGAGGGAGGGTGAGGCGAGAGAGCACGAGAGGAGGCTGAGAGGCTGAGGCGAGAGAGCACGAGCGAAGGTTGAGAGGCTGAGAGTTTCAGGGAGGGGCTGAGGAGATGTGTGCACGAGGACGAGGGAGAGATGGGTTATTTTGGGAATAACCAAAATTTCATTAATGTATTCCTTCAGATTCCCGCACAATCTGAAATCAGAAGCAGCAAGTGACCTGCTTCTGATTTCAGATGGAAAATAGCTTCTAGATTCTTTAAGAATCTATTTTTATGTGTTTACTAAACATATTTTTGAGCTTCAGCTGAAAAAAAAAGTGCTTTTGGCTTCCTAAAAGCATTACCAAACGGAGCCATATTTGATTACTGTTGTCGGCGAATATTGTTAGATTAATAAACAAATGAATTCGAATATGAGTGCGATGATTACTATTATTTCTTTATTGTTTTGCTTTTTAGTTTGAATTAGACCACCTGTTGGATTCAAGTACAACTTGTCTTCTTCGACGCTGCGAGTGGCCGAACTGTGCACACTTTTTTAATTGTGTGTTTTTTTGGTACATTTGTCGTTTACCGTCCGCGCGGTTCCAAATCGTATTTGGCTTTTTGCATTTGCCGTATAATTGTAGAATTTCTTTATTACATTTTACGTGTAACAACTTGCACTCTATTTGCTCGTCTTTAAACCCAAATGGCATCATATATACTATTTCGGCAATATATATATATATAAAGCCTATATATAGTTTTTTTTTTAAACCATCCCTTTCCTTATATGTAGCATGTAAAAATAAAAAATGCAGCATGACAATTAACATTAGGGAGTTTCTCTCATAAAGTAAAAAATATAAATTATCGATATTTTTATACTTTTTAATCGTTTAATTTATATCAAAAATTATATATTCTGTATATTTTTTTAGATCTAACAGTCAGAAGGTTTAGTGATTTAGATTTAGATTATTAAACAATGCTAATAAGATTCCCCAATAATACTTTTTTTTTTTCATTAAAAGGTTTATCAAGAAAAAGACAAAAGCAGCAGAACTTTGTTTTTATTATTATTATGTTTGTTGTGCCCATTTATTAAATGAGTCATCCAGACATGACAACGATGTTTTAAAAGATGTTACCCTGTAAAATCACGAAGTCTGACTTTGTTGGTTTAAAATATTAAACGACACGAGATTTGGTTGTTTATTTATGGCATGGATTTTTTTATTAACGTTTTTTTTTTTTTAACTTACCAAAACTATGATGTTTATTAATTTCTTTATTATTGGCAGTGGACTATGTAATTATTATACGGCTGGTAGTTGTCTTCAACACTACCTTTACTTGAACGTGGATGGTCCACTGATTCTAATTCATTCCCGATGGCAACACTCGTTTGATATTTCTCTATCATAACTTGTACTATGGACCACAAAAAAAAAAAAAAAAAAGAGCAAAGTAATTTCTTTTGTTACAATGATTAATTAGACATTTGTTTTTTTTTTTTTTTAATATATACATATTCTTTTAAATGGCTGAGCTAAGTGTAGCCTTTGAAAAAGGATCCACCAAAAGTGGGATATTAGGATAGTTCAATGCATAAAAGCACATTTCGTATTCCTTTAGATTTCACTAACCAAAAAGAAAAGTTTGTTTAAACCTCAATGTTTGTGGTTGTCTGCTTTATGACTTATTTAGAAGGAAAGAGGCAGCTTTCTGGATGAGTAAATGAATGAATTGAATTCTTGTTGAAAGAAAATGGAAAAGGGAATGAATGAATTGAAAAAAAGGCGAAAAAGTAAAACATGTCGAGACGCTGCATAAATGCTTTTAACATAAATGCCCTTTGGTGGGCACAAACTGATTGTAAACCATCCAACTGAATCAGAATTTCTATTTGGTGGGTCCCAAGAATTTTCTACCTCAGACTTGATGCTCTATCTCCAGAAAGAAAAGAAGAGAGAGAAAGAAAATAAGAAAGAGAAATGGAGTGCTGTGATTGATTCTGGCGGAAGGAGACCGACGGAAGGAAAAATAAATAAAATTAAAATTAAAAAAGTTATTTTAACCAAATTCTCGTGGAGAGGGGGGTTGCCAAAAGTCAATTTTGCTTTCTTTCCTTTTACTTTATTTATTTTCTTCGAGTGGTCCTCAAAGAAAATTTTTGCTTTTCGCGTCAATTTCTTGATCTTTTGCTAAAACTGAGAGGAAAAGGAAGTCTATTATCTTTATGTGATTCGTGTTGTCTTTTAATTGGTAAGGATTTCCCAAAATTTTTGATTAAATACTCATTTTAAAGATCCATATATATTCTTAATTATTCTTCTTCTTTGAAATATCAATGTAGTTTTTTTAGTCTAGGTCTATTAGTTAAAATATATTTTCTGTTAATAAAATGCATTATGTTGCTGTGTGACCAAAAGAGTCATGGAATTGGAATTTTACTGAATAAGATATTAAAGAGGAGCATAGGAGTGTCAAACATTAATGAAATTTTTTTGTCTGCTAAAGAACTTGTTCCTGAAACATTTCACTTTTCATACTAGATGTAAATTTTCTAGAGAGAACCTTTTTACTCTCTTATTTATTAATAATCAAAACATTACAGATTAAATAGGTTAAAGATAGAATCTCAACCTTCCTAAAAAATAGGAACTACCCTAACTAATGATAACTCTGAATCCTAGAAAAACTTATCTCTAATGATAAACCCTAATCTTCCGTTTTTATTCAAATACAAAAAATCCTAACTACCAAATCCTTATCTAATCGACACTAGATTATGCTAAGCATGTTGCATATAGATGGAGCTTAGTTGTTCATTTCGTAGTTTTAGTTCTATAGTCCTTTCTTTCACTTGTTTCTTTCGTAATTCATTTACTTATAGTATGCATCAATGATATTCAAGAACTACTGACTCTAAATGTTTTCTTTCGATATGTTTGCAGATACGTAGTCGTATACTTCTCTATCTTGTATCTACGGTACCATGCTGGCATTGTTACAGATGAGATGCTTTCCATGCCAAAAGCTCCTTTTCTGGCAGTGGGCCTCTTAGAAGCTCTTGCGGCTGCAACTGGAATGGCAGCTGGAGGTAGCCATCTGATATTCTCATGCCTTTCCAATCTATTTCCTCACTGATCACATGATTATGATCGTAGTGGATTTCATGTTCCCAAAAATGATACAATGTGGTGCTATAAATAGTGACAAACAACTACTTTATTACATAGCTAGCCAACACACACTTTTCTTGCTGAAACTTATTCCTAGTTGTGAGTTTTACAATGCTCTTATGGATGGAGGACGGATTCTTTTTTCAAACTTTGTTCAAGTACTAGATGCATTGTTTGTTTTTTTCGTTTATATTTTAAAAGTATTTGAAGTGCATTTTTAATTGCTAGCCCATTCTTGTGTTAGGGTAAAAAAATAATCAAGTTGTACAATATGTTATTAGCGCTTTTTATGTATTTATTTATTTATTTTTCCTTTGTTTTCTTATGGTTTGGATAATGTATGAGTTTAGATTAATTGTTTATATCTTGTTTTCTGTCATCTCCCTTCAACCAGCAATTTTGTCTGGAGCATCAATTCCAATTTTGTCCCAGGTAAGCAGATTTCACTTATCATTTTTTTTTCTTGTTTACAAAGCTTGGATAATGGATATGAATTTGTATCCCGCTAGAATTAGTTATACTCTCTGAAAATTATACTTCTCTGTTTTGCATAAGCTAGTACCTTCTGGTTTGAACTTCTAAAAGCTGATCCAGTTGTATAATACTATTCTGAGAAATCAGGAAATGATATGACTGTCAAATCAATGAAACCACAGGTTAAGAACATTGATGCTATACCAGTACAATTAAATGGTATAGGTAGATGAAAGAACATAAATTTTCTCTTACTTCTAAGAAGAGTTGAAATCAACTTTTGATTAATAATTAAAGAAGTGCTGGAACCCAGTGTTCGCAGCACTCTGCTTGTGCAGTTAGTTTGTAAGGATGACTTTCTAGACAAGATCAGAATGAGGTAAAAAAGGACTGCCCATGTTGTTAAAAAAAGCAGTTAGGCATTAGTTTCTAACATCAAATCGGGACTAGGGAATATGGATTTTTTTCCCCTCCAATGGTGTGGGCTTTGACATCATTAGGCATCTCGCAATTTGGATTTGTTATTTTGAAGTTAGATAATTAATGGACAACTGTACTAATTTTGCAGACTTTTCTCGTTTGGCAAATTCTCCTGTCAGTTATTTTCCTTGGGAGAAGATATAGAGTAAATCAACTTTTAGGATGCTTTCTTGTGGCTATCGGCGTAATCATAACTGTAGCAAGGTAACTCACGTATATGATCTTTTCGAATTCTATATTTTGTCTTAGGCTTCTACAAACAATACTCAGCTAGTCGCTCTTGTTGGTGAACGGAATGTTCAAGGATTCTGAACTTTTAACCCCGTTCACTTCACCAATTCGAGTTTAGAATTTGAGTTTT